TCATCTGCAGCCGTTACAACCCTAATTACCGCCATAACTGCTCATCAGTCCTTTTCTCGTGCTTTGTATTTCCTAAAGAAAAGCGAGAGGAAGGCGATGGGACGCTACAGCAGGGACCAGCGGATACCCAGGACACGGGAACGGACGGCCAGCAGCCGGAGGAAGGTAATGGAAAATGCCGTGTGACGCAAGGTTCCCCCGAAGCAGAGCAATGAGCAGCCCTCAGAGACAAGGACATGCAGGTGGTTATCCTTTTTTTTCCTAATTTGGTCAGACCCTCATGTCCTGGAGAGCAGTGGCTCATTCCTCGCCAGGAGAGCCACCGCACCCCAGAAAACACGGCCAGCATCTCTCTTCCTGAGGTTTGCGCCTATCTCCATTGGTGTGGGCTATCGAAGCACCACGGGGTCTTCCACCACGGATCCCCAACAGCCCCGTGGGGCTGGGAGATGCTCTACCTGCTGCTCCACGCAGGGGAGCTTGGGGGAGAACCTTGGGAGGCTCAGTCAAAAATGCGTGCCCCCAAACCCCAAACTATTTCCCTGCCTGATTCAGCAGGCGTCTGAATCCCCATGGTGCCCATGTGTCGAGCAGAAAGGTGTCTGCTCTCCTAAACCTCTGCTCCTGGGGGGCTCTACCCGTTCCAAGGTGAAAATGGTAAAAATCAGCTGGGGCAGAGGCTGGGGCTGGGCCCTGCTTCCCACGGTGAGAAGGGCTGCAGGGGGGCACTGCCCGCCCCCGGCAGCAGGCTGGACTGTGCTGAGCATACACAGACACAGCTGAGCCTACGGAATCATGCCGGGCAAAATGCAGCCCCTTCTCCAAAACGGAGGAGTAGTTTATTGAGAGTTATTAGGGGAGGAAAGCTGCGTCTCGCTGCGGGTGGGCTTTCGGCTCTGCCCCAGCTCCCCAGCCCCGGGCCGTGCGGGATCCCCTTGTCATTTACAGACCCACCTGGCCGCAGGAGGCTGGGATCGTCTGCATGTCCCAGAAATACGGAGCTCCTCCTCAGAGAAGAGCAGATGAACGACCCAGAGTAGCTGTCGCGGTGCTGGCAAAGCTGCCATCGTTGAATGTAGCTCTGGAAGATGTATGGGCCGTGCCTTGTAAACAGAAACTTTGACTGCGAAAAGGAAAAAATATATGAGCATTTATCACAAGCAAAATAATATTTCACAGCAGCCGCAAAGGTTTTGAGGAGGTGAATCATGATGGAGGCTCTCCCACTTAGGGCTGACATCCATATTCCAGCTGTGTTGCTTTATGAGTGCACAATAAAACCTATTAAACGATCTTGCGCAGCCCCCCCGCACTCCCCCACCCCAGCCACAAGCACTTTATCTCTAAATTGCAGGCAGCTTTTTAGTACCTAACCAATTTAGTCTAATTAATACTCAGGAACCCGCAGGCGAATTGTTGAATAGACCATTTGTTGCGACACTAAAGCATCATTTAACGCAGAGACGTGCCGAAGAGGACAAACAGGCGATGGCCATCGGCCGAACGGCTCGGAGATGGGACCCTCTGGTCCTGTGTCGGGGTCTGCCCCATGGGGAGGGGGCAGCAACTCCAGAATGGGGAGTTTGGCTCATTGGGTCCAGCACCCGCCCCCGGGGGATAACCAGGGAGCTTTGGGAAGGCAGGACCCGGCAGGAGAGCGTCGGCCGGCGGTGGATGGGAGAGGACAGGAGCAGGTCTGGTGCGTGCAGGGAGGCAGCGCCTCTGGTCCTGGGGCGCAGGGGGGCTGCTCTGCTGCTCGTCCCTCCCCGCGGCTCCACCGCTGGCGTCCGCATTGCCTCTCCTCTCACCGGAGGGCTCCGTGGGAAAGGTGGTACAAAAGAGAGGGCCTTTACAAAACGCAAGCGCGGGTGGCCTTAAGCAGCGAGCGTGAGGATGCACGAAGCCCTTCTAAAGCACACGCAAGCCCCCGCGGCGATGGGGGCTCAGCCTGGGGCCGTGGGGCGCTCCTCACCAGGCGGCTTCTGCAGGGGGGGTGCTGGTAAGTCAGCCGAGAGCGACGCTTTGGGGGGGGCGAAGGCGGTGCTGAGCCCCTCCTCAGCCACGCTCCCTCTGTGTCGCTGCAGGGCCAGGCAGCGGGGGGACGCCGGTGAGCAGTGGGGAGCGAGGGCCAGGGACGGCAGCCAGCCCCGGCGAGGGGGCAGAGGGG